ATACTGGGTGCTCACTATATTCCTTAATGAAAATTCCTGTGTGTGGGGCTTAGGCGTAACCATCTTTTAAAGGCTCCATGATGATTCAGTTGTTTCAGCCAGGATTGAGAATCACTCGTGAAGATTTCTAAGTTCCACTTGACCTAAAAACAGGATTCCTTAATCTGAATGCTTAACATGCTCCCCAGGTGATTCCAATGCCTGGTTTAGAAGTTGCTTATTACCTTGATATTTCTCCCAATCAGATTATACTGTGAATACTTAATTAAAATTTCTACTTATGGCCTCAGGAATGAAAGGGAGAGAGAAATGAGTTGGATGCCTGCTATTGTCTAAGATAGTATTAAGAAGAACAGAGGAGGAACAGTTAAGGGAGGCAGTAAGATTTACTGGGGGAACAGGGAGAGGCAATTGATTGGACATGGAAGAGAAAACGGTTTCTATAAGAGTGGGTGAGAGGTGAAGGGAGGGGAAAACCACTTGTGTACAATCTTTGAGGTTTTAAGCACTAATAAATCTTTAGTTTCTAAATGAGTTCCTTAACATCAAAGACTTTTGCAAATCATGTTTCACAATTTAGGAGGAAAATTTACTCCCAACTCTCTTAATGTGAATGTCTAAGGTACAAATACATAAACGTAGTAACGTGAAAGCTGGTTTCAAATATTTGAAATACTTGGCATTGCCAAGCTCTTTAAGGTGTGAGCCAGTTTTGGTGATTAGTAGTGTGGACAGAAGGACCAATGATTTTGCTTTATAGAAAAAATTAACTTTTTCTACATAGTTGTCATAATTATTTTTGTAGACTTTTGTGTTACTAGTATATCATAATTGTTTTTAAGTATTCCTCCATTGTTGAATAAGAAGGTTTCAGTTCTACAAATTACATTGCAACTCACATTTTCATACTTTCATGCTTTAAAACTTTGGATTTTGTAGATATGGTGGTTTAGCCTTGCTGAATGGAACTAACTGGTTTTGGAACTTTCATGGGTTCTGATTTCCATCTCTAGGTGTCTGTACGAATCCTTTGTAACTTGTGAAGTTTTCCTTCTTTTTTTTTTTTTCAGTCTGAGGTCATTTCTCCCACAGATGTAACTCTGATGGCCTCAATCCAGCCCAAACCTGCTACCTCCCTTCATGTGGCCAAATGCCTGGAGATGAGCTGGTACTTATTTATGCAGCTCATTTATATTAAGAGGTGTATAATTTTGGTCAGAATTCCCACTCTAAATGCTAACTCCTCCCTGAATTCTAATAGGTCTTTTTCTGTTGATTGTTTCTAGGACTCAAGGTCATTATTACTGACAACATATATTAGAATTGATGTATTGCAAGTGGTTGGGGAGTGGAGTATGATTTAGGTTGAAATTAATTGGAAAAACTTCTCCAGGTAATTTCCAAACAGCACTCTAATAGCATAGTCAACTCCTAGACTGAATATCTACTTCATAAATTAGCAAGCCCTCTTATTTTTTCCCCAGTGAAAGCACGGGAACTGGGAAAGAGAAAGTATATGCATAAATCACATTCTTTGGTACTTTTTGGTAGTTCTCTTTTAAAAATTACACTTGGCCAAAATGGAGATTGCAGTAGCAACATTCTCACTTAAGTATTTAAACTTTTGGTACCAGGGTGAAGGAGAGGGCATTCACGTAACATTCTCTATTTCTAAACAGCATCCCTGATAAGGTTAGAAAAGTATTAAGATCCTTGTTAGCCAGGTTGGGACACTGAAGGAGTAACAGTTTAACTGGTTTTATTTTGTTATATACCCATAATAGCAAACATACTTAGGAATGTTACTTGATTGCTCAGAGTAACACCCATTTCAGGAGTTCATTATTTTGGACATGTATGGACTTTGTTTTGTGTTCTTGTTTGCTCAAATTAGCCGAGACATATACATAGCACTGCCGCTTTCCAAGATTGTTTACATTCCACCTAGTATTAAATAGTAATTGACTATCCATGATTTCTTGGCTTGGTCGTTTTAGCTGCACAGGTAGGTTCTTTGTACTTTGCATTTGTTTCCTGTATTTATTCCCCTTACTGAATTCTCTCAGTGAATTCACAACTTTAAGAGAGCTTACATAGGTAAGTTAAAGTTGGTTGGTTTAAATTGTTATGACTTGATTTATGAATTCTACATCGCAAAGTTCCAAACTGGATGATGGCAATTTATGAGATAAAAAATCTTAGCTGCAGCCCAAGTGAGGAGCTCCGGCAGACGGCTTGAAAGCACGGGGAATGGGGAGAAGGTGGGCCTCCGTGGGTCACTGCGTGCCATCGGTGCCCCTGCCCTTCTGCTCTTCTCTACCCACCCCGGCTCGCCCCGCACCTCAGCTTTTGCTTATCCCGGGCATCCTGGGCTGCCCAACGGCGCGCCTTCCGGCTCAGGCGCCCTCCGCGCGGCGCAGGGGCCGAGTGGGGCGGCGGTGGCGGCCGGCCCGGGCGCGGGAGGCCGCGAGGGAGGCGCCGCGGGTGCGGGGGGCAGGCGGGGCGCCGGCCGGGGTGTCCGGCGGAGGGGGCGGCGCCCTCCGCGTCTCCGTGACTGCGCCCGCGTCTCGCCGCGGCTCCCGGGATGCGCGGAGGCGGCGGCGATGGCGAAGATGCCTCCAGCCCTGCGGCGTCCGGGCCGGCGGGCGGAGCTGGGGTCCGGACCGCGCGATGGAGGAGGAGGGGCGGCGCTGCGGCCACCCGGCAGGTGAGAGGCGGCGGGCCCCTGGAGGACGACCCCAGGGGACGGAGGGCCCGGGCACCCGCGGCTGAGCGGGGAGCGCGGCTGCGCAGGGCCGGGCCGAGCCGCCGCGCACCTGTGCGGCCTGCGGGGACGCCATCTAGCCCGTCTGGCCCGCCCCCACGCTCTGCGGGGCCACGGAACCCTCGGCCCACCGCCCGTGGCCGGGCGGAGCCCTCTTGACCCCACCGACCCTCGGCCGAATCTCGCAAGCTTCCCTGGCCCGGCCTAGGCCCTCCTTGCCATCGCCTCTCCCCACTCCGGGAAGCCCTCACCCATCGCCAGCCCCTCGCCAGGGGTCGACCTCCCCTTCCCGCAGTTTCCTACTCCACTCCATGGCCAGTTCCTTCCCACGCTGTCCTCAGGCAGGGGGCTCCAGCCACCTCATCACCCCCCTGTCAGATGAGCCAGGACTTCTCCTCCCCACCCCATTAGCTGCTCCACGCTTCAGTGTAGTTCAGCTGGATGGAAAGAGCAAGGGCTTTGAAATCAGGTACATCTGGCTTGAATCCTAGTGACCTTGAGCAAGTTATCTAACCTCCCTGAGATTTTCCTATTCAGTATAAATACAGTGGGAATAAGAACCTTGCCTTTTGTGAGGGTTAGGCTCTGAAAATGCTTTTTTCCCTGCAGGAACTTCAGACATTATAAGGGGGAAAAAATGGATTGCAAGAATTCAGGTCAGGAGCTGACTTGTAAAAGCTCATATAAAATCTTTTCGTGTTTACTAAAAAATTAAAACAGCACACTAGATCGTCAGAGGCTCTTCACACATCTTAATGAGAAAGTACAATTGCCACTGTACATACTTGTTTCCCATAACTTGCTTACTAGTTACTTCAGGGTCCCTCCTTGTGACAAGATGCATGTGAATTCATTCTGTCTTATTGTTGCTAATAGGCATGCTTAAGACTGGCTTTCCGACTTAATCTTCACTAAGATTAAAAATCTTGATTTTTATGACTTTAATCACGTCTTCCAGGACCTATTTATGGTTCCAGAGATAAAGGGTGGCTTGTATGCTTGCATTGAAAATAACATTGGTGACCTTTAGTTAATACTTAGAAATAGCAAATAGGTATTAATTTACTCGCTTCTCTGCTGAGTTTTACATTTTATCCATCATAACTTTATTCTAAATTGTGATCTCAGCCTCCTCTTTCCCAGGAGTTGGTATTAAGACCTAGGTTCACTTTCCCTCCATTTCCTTTATTGTTCCTAAAGTTTTTCCTTTCGAAACCTTTACTACTGTCTTCTGCTTTTCCTCTTTTCTCTTCCCAGCTGCTGATTCCATCCTTTTTTCCTAATTATCCTAATAGGAGAGATTTATACAGGAACTTTAAAATATGAAGCTTGCCAAAAATGTCTGCAGAAGTGTGTATGTATCTATATCTGTATAGATGTATATAGATACAGATAAGGGCGTGTGTGTACATGTATCATGTTATTAGGAGTTTTGGATCCTAGGAAATTTCAGTGAAGAAGGGATTGCAATACCTACTTCTTAGGATTACTGTGAGAATGAAATAAAATTGGGTAACTTATCTAAAGACTGTAATATAAGTGTCTGGCATGTAATAACCACCCAGTAAATTATATCTCCTGTAATTATCTTCTGACCTACAGATTTCTCCCTTGATTTCTTTGCAGTTCAGTGTAGCATGGTGGTGAAGAAGGCAGACTTTGAAGAACAACTGCTTAGGTTCAAATCCAAACTCTACCCCTTTAAATGATCTCTCTCTGACTTTGTTTCCTCAACTGCAAAATAGAGATGTTATACTAATTATTTCAGGGTTGTGAGAATTCAATAAGCTAATAGGATGGAACACTGAGAACAGTGCCTGGCACATCATAAACACTCAATGAAATTAATATATTAATTATAAATTATTATATTGCCATTATTATTTCCTGACCTAGAATTCTCCCTTTTTTTTTTTTTTTTTTGAGACAGAGTCTCACTTTGTTGCCTAGGCTAGAGTGAGTGCCATGGCGTCAGCCTAGCTCACAGCAGCCTCAAACTCCTGGGCTCAAGCAATCCTTCTGCCTCAGCCTCCCAAGTAGCTGGGACTACAGGCATGCGCCACCATGCCAGGCTAATTTTCTATATATATATTAGTTGGCCAATTAATTTATTTCTATTTATAGTAGAGACAGGGTCTCACTCTTGCTCAGGCTGGTTTTGAACTCCTGACCTCAACCAATCTGCCCGCCTTGGCCTGGAATTCTTCTTTTTAAAAAACTTCTAGAAAATTTAAAAATTTATTGAAAAAAAAATGTAACTGTACAAAAAGTAAAAGTTGCTTCATAACTCCTCCAAATCATGTTGTTTCTCCTGCTTCTTATCCTTGACTAATATTGACGCCTCATCATCTAATTTTTCCCTCAAAAACCCCCTTTCCAAGTATCTCCTAGGTTGGCCTTTTCATAACTTCCATCATCTGATTTCTTCATTATTACTCTTCATTTCTCTTAGCAACCTAATTCCAGACTCTTCATTCTCCTGATTTCCCCAGACTGAATTCCTGCATCCCTGTTCACTCTTCCTCACTTTTATACTTCCAAAGAGGAAAAACTTGGGGGTGAGAGCATTGCTAGAGACATTAGTATCACTCTCTGCTCTTCCTGCCTCTTGAAATTGAGTTTTCCCTTTTCATAAATTAATGCCAATCCTCCCATTAACAATTTTTGCAAAACAGTAAATACTTGTCCTTCTCCTTACATAGGTATCAAAAGGGTTCAGAAACAGGTATACAGTCTTATTTTATTTTTTTATTTTGGCATAGGTATACAGTCTTTAAATGGAAACAGTAAAAGCTATCCATTATTTGTTTTTTAATTGTAACCATCAAGAAATAAAAGTTAAGGATTTACATTTCTCTCTCTCATAGAACTTTTTAAATGTAAAGTAACAGAAACGTTGGTTTTACTTTAAGTGGAGAAATTTATTTGCACCATATACGACCATTAAGAATGTAGATAATGTTATTTTCTTCCTTAATGAAGGATACCAGTCAGGTATCCAGAACTGACATTTGTCAGATAGTCTACTGGCATGGCTGTACGTGTTGAGAAATGCTGAGAGACTTATGTATTGGGTAGTCCATGGCTGCTGCTTGGAGCCCCAGGTAATCCCTCACTGACTTGGCCCAGTCCTCTGCACCCCCTTGAACCAGCAACGGAAGGGTTAACAGCTGGAGGCCTGGGGGATCCAGATTGGGCTGGTGGCTAAATGTTCTGAACATCAGCCCTGAACCTCCCCAATGCCATTGGTGGTTCCTAAAATGTTGGATTAAAGTAAATGCTTTTTAGTTGTCAAGAGCATAGTGCTGTTTCCAAGGAACCGCTTAGTCTGTCCCACTAGAAGCATCTTTTGGGAACAGCTTTTATACCAGGCCACACAGGGCTTTGGGGTTTGGAACAAGCTAGAAGATCTGTGTGAGTATACACTAAACTTCACTGTGAAACTGAAAAAAAAAAATGTTAGGAAAGAAGGAGCAAAAGGGGTATTCTTTTAAAGTAGAGGCTGTGTCTTACTCATCATTATACGCTCAGCATCTAGCCTAATGCTGGCATGTGGTATACACGTAATTAATGCAGATGGATTTAGTACAGGAAAGGGGGCAAACCTCCTTCATCATGTGGATAATAGTAACCGAGATTTATATAGAAGTTCAGAGTTTACAAAGTGGTGCTTTGTATCTTGTAAATTGTGAATGTAATTCTGACACTCTTTGTTACTTTGATTTTTTTTCCCTCTCAAATGAAGTCCTACACAAAGTATTTTCCAAAGGAGGTTAAGCACTTGGCTAAGAAATCTCAAGGTGGGGAAAAAATGATAAATCTGAGAAATAATGGATTCTTCCTAGGGAAAGAAGGAGGATTTGTTAGTAATTTATGGGAGTTAAGTGAAGGGCCACATTATGTACCAACAATACTCTCCAGTTTAGATTTCAAGCACATACTCTTTCTTGCCTCAATCCCTTTGCTGTCGAGATCAACTCCCCTTTTCCTAGCCTGTCTGTCCCTACTCCCTGCCCCCCACCCTTCACCCAGCTGCCTCCTCCTCACCAAAGCTCCCTTCATCCTTTCCCAAGTGGGATTAGGTTCCCCTCTTCTGTGCTTCCTTAGCACCCTGCACCCATATCAGGCTGTAATTACATAGGCTGCTCTCCAACTGGATTGTGATCTCTTTGATGGAGAGGTTATTTCTTATATATCTCGAGTGCCTGACCTGGAAATATTTCCAGAAGTAACATCTGCATACCCCTCAAACAGAATCTCAAGGGGTGAGGGTCAGGAATCTGCTCTCCAGGTGATAAACATTTTAACATGCTCTTTAGGGGATACTTAGATTTGTTTGAAAACCACCGTGTCATAAAACTGAAAATCAGTAGGATGAATATATTTTGAGGTGTTTGTGTCTTTTCTGTGTTGGGCTTTGTGAGGAGAAATGCTTTCTATGCACCTGGTCAGAGCTGAAAACTTCTAGTGCTTTTGTGAAAAGTAACGAGAGCGGCGTATACATTGCTTTCTGTGTCTGCATTAATCCCTTTCTGTCTCTGGGTCTGCGTTTTTGTGTGCAGGCTTATCTGCCCTGGGCCTCTTTTGTCACATGTCGCTCATCTGTGAGTTGAGGCCCCGACTCCCTTCCCACTGAGTGTTTCTGGGGAACAGGAGGAGGAGACGTTTCTCTCTGAAGATGAACTCAACAGACCACCTCCGGGATGCCCCCAATGCCACCTCGCTGCGCGACCCTCACTCGCAGGGAGGGAACAGCACCTCCCTCCAGGAGGACCTTCAGGATCTCATCCACACGGCCACCTTGGTGACCTGTACTTTCCTACTCGCAGTCATCTTCTGCCTGGGCTCTTACGGCAACTTCATCGTCTTCTTGTCCTTCTTTGATCCAGCCTTCAGGAAATTCCGAACCAACTTTGATTTCATGATCCTGAACCTGTCGTTCTGTGACCTCTTCATCTGTGGAGTCACGGCGCCCATGTTCACCTTTGTGTTATTCTTCAGCTCAGCCAGCAGTATCCCGGATGCTTTCTGCTTCACTTTCCATCTCACCAGTTCAGGCTTCATCATCATGTCCCTGAAGACGGTGGCCGTGATTGCCCTGCACCGGCTCCGGATGGTGCTGGGGAAGCAGCCTCATCGCACGGCCTCCTTTCCCTGCACTTTGCTTCTCACTCTGCTTCTCTGGGCCACCAGTTTCACCCTCGCCACGCTGGCTACCCTGAAAACCAGCAAGTCCCACCTCTGTCTTCCCATGTCCAGTCTGATCGCTGGGAAAGGGAAAGCCATTTTGTCCCTCTATGTGGTCGACTTCACCTTTTGTGTTGCTGTGGTCTTCGTCTCTTACATCATGATTGCTCAGACCCTGCGGAAGAATGCTCAAGTCAGAAAGTGCCCCCCTGTCATCACAGTTGATGCTTCCAGACCACAGCCTTTCATGGGAGCCCCTGGGAAGGGAGCCGGAGACCCCATCCAGTGTACCATGCCGGCTCTCTATAGGAACCAGAATTACAACAAACTGCAGCACATTCAGACCCACGGATACACCAAGAGTCTCAACCAGCTGTCCACCCCTGCAGCCGGCCGACTCCAGCTGGTCTCAGCCATCAACCTCTCCACCGCCAAGGATTCCAAAGCTGTGGTCACCTGTGTGATCATTGTGCTGTCAGTCCTGGTGTGCTGTCTTCCACTGGGGATTTCCTTGGTACAGGTGGTTCTGTCCAGCAATGGGAGCTTCATCCTTTACCAGTTTGAACTGTTTGGATTTACTCTTATATTTTTCAAGTCAGGATTAAACCCTTTTATATATTCTCGGAACAGTGCGGGGCTGAGAAGGAAAGTGCTCTGGTGCCTGCAGTACATAGGTCTGGGTTTTTTCTGCTGCAAACAGAAGACTCGACTTCGAGCCATGGGGAAAGGGAACCTCGAAGTCAACAGAAACAAATCCTCCCATCATGAAACAAACTCTGCCTACGTGTTGTCACCAAAGCCACAGAAGAAATTTGTGGACCAGGCTTGTGGCCCAAGTCATTCAAAGGAAAGTGTGGTAAGTCCCAAGATCTCTGCTGGACATCAACACTGTGGACAGAGCACCTCAACCCCGATCAACACTCGAATTGAACCTTACTACAGCATCTATAACAGCAGCCCTTCCCAGGAGGGGAGCAGCCCGTGTAACCTACAGCCAATAAACTCTTTTGGATTTGCCAATTCATATATTGCCATGCATTACCACACCACTAATGATTTACTGCAGGAATACGACAGCACTTCAGCCAAGCAGATTCCAGTCCCCTCTGTTTAAAGTCATAGATGGTAGAAAATCTTGTGTATATGGGTTTTGTTACTGATACTAATTGACTTTTTTAAACTTTGGGATCAGTGGCAGATCAAAACTTAAAGATTCAGCTAAAAAGTTGGCACTTAAGATTTTCTTTTGTTTGAAGTATTAATATCTTTTAATTTGCTTTATAGTTTCTTGACATTTTAAGATTTGAATCAATGTTATAGGTCTTCAAAGTATATATAGGCTTCATTTTTTTTAAAGAATATGAAGGTTTGATCTTTGCTGAGCTGTTATTTTTATTAACTGAGTTATAAATTTTGCCTTTTCTGACTTAGTGAAATAGGAAACAATACACCTTTTTGGCAGCAGGTTGATTTGAAGAAACAATACACTGTTAAAGCAGGAAACCATAAATGTATTACCTATAACTCTATCCTTACCAAAAACACTCCTACTGGCATTAGGTACTTTACTTTCATAAGACAGCCAACTAAGAATATAGTATTACGATTATTGCCATTTCTTATTATAGATATTATTTTATGTCAATTGAGTAGCTATATTGTTATTTTAAAAAGAAAGATGTTACTACTTGTTAAGAGTGAGTTGTTCTAAGCTGGGTGTGGTGGTGCACGCCTGTAGTCCCAACTACTTGGGAGGCTGAGGCAGGAGGATCGCTTGAGCCCAGGAGTTCAAGACCAGACTGGGCAATCTAGTGAGACACTGTCTCTATTTTTTAAAAAAAAGTGAATTGTTCTATTTTGGAATGATCTTATTCAAGAATCCTAATGAAGAGGACTGCATCAATAATAAATGTGCACTGTTCCTGGAAGAGTAGGCACTATGTTGTCATCTTACGCAGGATGGCGTTATGTGGGAAACAACATGGACTGTTGTCATGCTTGTCAGTCTTTATTGTTGCTTAACAAGGCACAGAGATGAAATTTGGGAGCGTTTTGATTTTTGTTTTCTTTCTGTGTGAGAAGAGCTTATTAACCACCTGACAGTATTCAAGTAACTATTTAGAAATAACTTCTTTTGTCTTTATGTACTACTATGGCATAACAGAAAAATTCTCAAGATCTATTTTCAAACTAATTGTTTTATTTCTCTCCATTAACCTTAAACTGGAAATGGGCAGTAAGGAAGAGCAGATTAAGTATTTCTATACCTGACACTAATTTTATTATATGCTCTGTGATTCCTAGCATAACTGTGAACTCATATTTTTATGTAAAAATATTTTCATTATACGGTTAGTATTTGAATTTACTAGAATTTTGGAACTATAACTGTTAGACACACACAAGATGAGCATCAAGATACAAAACCTATCTTTATAAACTGTTACATTCAAGAATTATTATTTGGAAGGTACTTTATTCCTTTGGGTGGAGGCATTCCATTTACAGCACCTCCCTCAGGCTGCTCACAAATGCAGAGGTCACCAGAGGTGTGGAGAGACAGAGTAGATCACCAGGAACTCTGCTCAGCCTCATCTAACAGCTCTTAGCTCTCAGTATTGATCGGTCATTTCTAGTTTTGAGATTTAAGCATAAGGTATAGGTTTTATTTTGTTTTTAAATTCATCTTTTAGGACTGACTTACATACCAATCTCTTCCCCCCTCCCTTTCTTTCTTTCTCCCTTCCTCCCTCCCTGCCTGACTGCCTTCTCTCCCTTTCTTCCTTTATTTTTTGCTATTAAAATTTTATAACAGAAAATATCCACTCTCTCACTTTTTTTGTAATTGAATGCTATTTTTGGAAGTCACTATTACCTACTTCAATTGTGTTTTTATATTTTTAATACAACACTATTTTTATTTATTAGTACTCCCATGAGATAGGTTAGCATGTTTACCTCTTTTCATAAAGAATTAAGAAGTCTACGATCCAAGATCATTTGAAGAATAATGGCAAATTAGGGATTAGACTTTTGTCGTAATTCAAATCCTGGTATTTATTCTAATATCCAAATAGCTTTATAATTAATATTAATAACATTAATCAAGAATCACACTTTTAAAAGGTATATTTCTCTTTTCATTGGCCAGGCATTTCAAAAGTGATTTAATCAAAGATTGAAACAAAAGTGATTTCTACTTGTAAAATTTTAAATGTCAGGTTTTCTATGTGACCTTTGAGTTTGCGATGATTTGACTGGCATGGGACCCATCTTTGGGAGGTAAAAATTATAGCATAAAGAAAACTAAACATTTGTATATGAGGTATTGTCTCTTTATGCTCATCAAGAAATTATTGATTTAGCTTGCATGAAATACATAGTGGGCTAGATTCTTAGCCCTCCTCCATATCTATATGTAGATATAGATATACAGGTATTTATATAACTTGTCTCTTCATGAGTTATATATGTCTATCTGTGCCTATATCATGATATAGCTATAGGTGTAGACACATAGCCATAGACAGACATATATAACTTGTCTCTTCATAAGGGCTAAAATGAGAACTAAAAGAAATGAGGATTCAGTTGAATATGATTAATTAGCAGAGTATATTAATTAGTTCTCATGATGCTTTACTGTGATGCAAAGTATGTGATGTATTTAAAACATTTTATAATAATTGTTCTTATGTTAACCATTAGGCCATGTCTGTATTTCTGATGCTTTTAATTTCCTTTTAAAATAATGTTTGGAAAATAAAAATATTGAAAATCCTAACATTTCTGAGTACCGGATTGCAAGATAATGACTTTCCTAGTTATTTAAAAACCATCAGAACATACCAGTGATCATTTTTACCCAATAGATAACAACGTGTTGAAACTCAGAAAGAGTTCTTTTCCTTATGAGACAAAATAACTTGTTTGGCCACATATGCTCAACTAACCAAGATAGTTAACTCCAAAGGTTATTTACTAAACTAAGTTTCTCACTCAGTGGGAAGAGGCCTGAATGAACATTTCAACAACTTCCTTAAAATGAGATTAAGCTGGAAAAAGATACCAAATTTTGGAATTTTTAGTTTATCAACCAGGGTTTGGTTTTAAGAATCAGAAAACATTAATATAAGCAGGAAATAATTTAATATGTGGAAATAGATGTCTACAAAATTATTAGACAGTCAGGGACCTATGGTGGGTGGGTCTCCAGAAAAGATTCCACAATACTATTAGCCTGACCAGCCACCAATGCTACTACTGCTACAACCAGGAAGGCAGGGAGTCAGGAAGCCTTCCTTGGATTTTTTTTTTTTTTTTTTTTTTAAGAAATGTGATCTTGCTATGTTGCCCAGGCTAGAGGGCAGTAGCTATTTACAGGTACTATTATACCAGTCTATAGCCTCGAACTCTTGGGCTCAAGTAATCGTCCTGCCTCAGCCTCCAGAGTAGCTGGGCCTACAGCTACTACACTGCGCCCAGCTCTTTCTTGGACTTTTGTTCTTTCCTTTTTTTTTAATTTTTTTTTTTTTTTTTTTTTGAGACAGAGTCTTGCTTTGTTGCCCAGCCTAGAGTGAGTGCCGTGGTGTCAGCCTCGCTCACAGCAACCTCAATCTCCTGGGCTCAAGCAATCCTCCTGCCTCAGCCTCCCGAGTAGCTGGGACTAAAGGCATGCGCCACCATGCCCGGCTAATTTTTTCTATATATATTAGTTGGCCAATTAATTTATTTCTAGGGTCTTGCTCTTGCTCAGGCTGTTTTCGAACTCCTGACCTCAAGCAATCCGCCTGCCTCAGCCTCCCAGAGTGCTAGGATTACAGGTGTGAGCCACCAGGCCTGGCCTTTGGATTTTGACTTCAAGGACATATTGTTAAAGTTGTCATCCAGGGATCAGGAAGCTGCTACTACTGCCACTGCCACTACATCCACAACAAACCCTCTTAACACCTAACAAAGCAAGTGGGTGAACACCAAAACACTGCTGTAGATAAAATTTGACCCTGTACATCTAGATGGCAGAAGCTAATTGTATCCAGAACCCTTGCTTCAGGGGAATCTGGAAAGTGTAGTTACACTAAAAAGGTATACCAAAAGGAGATTCAGAAGGGATGCTGAGTTCCAATCTACTCTGTCCACAATGATTCATATAAAGTGGCAGGGAAAACCAAGGGGTAAAAAGAGGAAACTGGTTGGAATGTTTTATAGACATACATATACCAGGATAAAGAAGAAAATATGGGAGCTAATAAAGACCTTCCTTGCTTTTACTACTGGTCAGGAAGCTGTGGTTGATATTTTATAACTTACTTTCTCCACCCTCCATTTCCTATCCCTTTGCCATTAGCCAGCGTATCATATAATCTGAGAAAGTAAATACGTTTTATGAAATAGTGGAGGGAATGAAATACTAAGAAAACAAAATTAAGGAAACGTAAAGTAGAATTACAGAAAAAAAAAGTGGAAATACTTAGTGTCACTTATAAAAACAAATCTTTGAATTAAAAACATGCAAAAATTTGCTGCTTGCAATAGATAAACATAAACTGACAGTGAAAATTAAGAAATAGGCAAAAGTAGACAAGATTCCATGAACAAAAAATGGGGGTGGCAATATTAATATCAGAGTAGAACTAAAAGCAAAACCACATTATAGAAGATTGATACTGATATTGATAAGAGGAGCAACCAAATAATAACGCAGGAACAGTTTCCTTCATTCTATAGATATTTGTTTAATACTAAGTGCCAGGAACTTGAGATACATGGGTGAAGACAAGATACGAAGTTCCTACTCTCATGACACATTGTGTGAGGAAGATAAACAAATATGTAATTATCAAGTACAGTGGTCGCTGCTCATGTGCGGGCGGGGTACATTCTAAGACTCCCAGTGGGTGTCTGAAACCACAGATAGTACCAAACCCTATATATACTATTTTTTTCCTATACATACACACCTCCTAGAGAGTTTAATTTATAAGTTAGGCACAGTAAGAGATTAACAATAACTAATAATAAAATAGAACAAATATGACAATATGCATTAAAAAATTATGAGTGTGGTCTCTTTCAAAATATCTTACTGTACTGTACCACAGGTAATTGAAACCTGGGAAAGTGAAACCACAGATAAGGGGGGACTACTATAGTGAGATGGTCTATGAAGAAAAATAAACAGTAAAGGCAGAGAAAGTGGCAGAGGATGTTATTTTTACATAGGGAGAATAGAGCTAGTCTCTTATAATTTGAGCAGCACTCTGAATGAAGAAAGGGATTGAGTCATGCCAAAAGTGGAGACAAGAGCATTCCAGGCTCAGGGAATATCCAATGAAGGCCCAAGACAGGAACATGTTAAACATATTTAAGAAAATCAACAGAGAGAAGAGTAAATGAGGTGAATAGTGGCAGGAAATGAGGTAGCCAGCAGCCAGATCATGTAAGTCCTTTGGATTTTTATTCTATATATGGTAGAAAACCATTGCAAGATTAAGAGTAGAGTCTTAACAAAATCAGATGTGTCAAGAATAATAAAATGCACAAAGCAAATCTGTTAGAAATACAAGAAGAAATGGAAAGAAATGCAAGCAAAGTGGGAGATTTAAATACCCCATTAAGCCTCAGATGAATCAAGAAGACAAAAATACAGAACATAAAGAATATAATTAGGAAATAGAATCATTATTTAGGTGTATATACATAATTTTATACCTCATAGCAAATAAGCTTTCTTTTACATTTTAGCAGAACAAAAGAAAAAATCGATCATATTGATAGACCTCAAAAAACTTCTCAATGAAATAGAAATGCTGAGGCATTCCCGTATCCCAATTTAATAAAAAATTAATGACATTAAATGTATACACACACAAAAAAACTCTGCAGTCATTTGGAATAAAAGTTAAATATCAAACAGTGTCAAGGATGAAACTAAGAATACAGTAATACTATTTAGAAGAAAAATGAGAATTCCACATATAACCTGTAACATGAAACCAAAACTAGAGTCACGAGTAAGTCATGGTCTTAAGTTCTAGTTATTCATCCATCCATCCATCCATCCATCCATCTCCCTAACCCCACTTGTTCTAGAAATCTATCTCATATTTTTATGCTTTCCCCCTCAACTTCTTCTATGTTTATTTCTCTCATCTCTCTTGCACTTTTTTTTGATTAAACAATATTTTTAAATTCATTTTCCCCTTATTCTAGTATGAAAAACTCTATTTTTATTCTTTTATTACTTATCCTGGAAGTTAAAACATGCATGCATATTAAAGCCTAAAATGAATCAATGCTTAACGTCTTTTCCCAGACAACAAAAGGATCTTGAAATATTTTTAAGTCCACTTATCCCCATCCAACTTTTGTCATCTTTTAATTCTTTCCTGTTTTTATTTCTAACCTGACATTATAGTTATTTTATATAATCAATATTCATTTAAATTCGCCCATACATTTGTCACATTTCTTGCTCACCATTCCTTCTTGTGTCTCAGACCTTTCATTTGGGATTCATTTTTCCTGCCTTAGTGTATCATTCAGACTTTCTTTTAATACCTCTTTCTGTTAGTGAAAGATCTCTGTGTCTGTTTTCTGGAAACATTTTCATTTTGCCCTCATTCTTAAAAGAGCTTTTTTTCCTGAATAAATAATTCTTTATTTTATCATTTAGTGTTTTGAAGGTATTATTCCATTGTCTTCTGACCTCCATTGATGCTATTAAAAACTCAGCTGTTAGACTACATGCTGCTTGTTTGAATATATTCTCCCCACTCCACTCTACCTCCACCCCCTGGCTGCTTTTATTATTATATTTTTTGTCTTTGATGTTCTGCAGTTTCAATATGATATGTATCTTTTTATTTACCTTGGGATTTGTTGTACTCCTTGAATCTAGGTAATTGTTCATTTCTCCAGAAAAAATTTGCACTTGCTTCTTCTAGGTACCTAAGTGTATTAACGTTCAGGACCACTTAAACTGAACTTGAAGTTTTTTTGAACTATGTAGGCTATGTGGGTATATGGGCTGTTGCCTTATAAGGCAGTGAGCTTGTGGTCACAACCTCTAAGGGATGATTTTTCCCCTTTCTCTGTTAACATCCTCCCCTCCTCCCCTTCCCTTCCCTTCACTTCCCTCCCTAACATACTATCTCTGCTCTCCTCTGCTCTGTATCCTGTCTCTCCTATTCTCTTCTTTCTTTTTTTTTTTTTTGACACAGAGTCTCACTTTGTTGCCCAGGCTAGAGTGAGTACTGTGGTGTCAGCCTAGCTCACAGCAACCTCAATCTCCTGGGCTCAAGTGATCCTACTGTCTCAGCCTCCTGAGTAGCTGGGACTACAGGCATGTGCCACCATGCCCGGCTAATTTTTTCTCTATGTATTAGTTGGCCAGTTAATTTCTTTCTACTTATAGTAGAGACGGGGTCTCGGTCTCGCTCAGGCAGGTTTCGAACTCCTGACCTTGAGCAATCCACCCGCCTTGGCCTCCCAGAGTGCTAGGATTACAGGCGTGAGCCACCGTGTCCGTCCCAAGACAACTTTTCTTGAGGTCCCCGGGACATGGGGTAGAGTGGAGTGGGTAGATTTAATTCTTGTTTACTACTACCTTGAAGATGTAGCTCTTTGGGGTCCCAGTTTTATGGGCAATAGGTCTCCTTTTAAGGGGAGGAAGGGAGTCATCAAAACTGAAGCTCAATTTCTCTGAGGTTGGCAAACACCTTCAGGGCAAAAGTATCTTCCCTCCTTCGCTTACCTCTTAGGGTTCTTGCTTTCTCTGATATT